CCTTAAAGAAAAGCCCTGTGAATAAAAATTTCTACTGGGTTTTTTTGTTTTATATTCTTAAAAGAAAGACCAAAAATCTGAAACCTGACTGTATATTGGGCATAGAAAAAATTGTGGGCATAGAAAAGAAGAAAATGGATGAGTTCGAAAGAGAATTTTCAGATGTAATTATAAGAAGAAGAAGAGGGAAAAAAAAGTGTTTTGGTTTTAGGGTTTATGGTCAGAAGAACCAATAATAGAACTTCAGAAGAAGACACTCTTTTCTTTTTTCTTCCATGCAGTTTGCATAAACTAAACTATGACTTGTCTATTTATTTATTTGGTTTCTTGGAAATAATGTTTTTTTTCTTGGAAATAATGTTGGTTCATGCATTTTTGTTTTATGAGGGAATAATCCGAAAAGTCCATTGCCTTGGTTGTTTTTATTTTCTTTTGATAAGTTATTAATTTTTAAATGTACAAAACCATGAAAATCTAATTTTCACATTCACTTGTGTATGAATTCTCATTATGAAAAAGTGTCATTCTCCCATTTTTCACACATATTAAAAAATTTTAAAATTTTTATTACATTAAACAAATTTCTCTCTCTAATTAATACATTAAAATAAAAAAGTTAAATAGAATTTTATCATAAATTCTGCGTTGAAAATGTTAAACGATATTTTTTATGAAACAAAAATATATAGTTAAAACGACACTTGTGGATTAAATAAATTAACTCATCAATACGTTTCAAAACAAAACCATTCCCTAATAAATAAATAATATAGAGGTTTTAAAACACCAAGCAAGCCCCAATACATAAAATATGAATCGTCCAAAATCTAAAAATTCTAATCACTCATGAACATGAGGTCTGCCTTGGTCGGCAACCTTGTGAAGAAGTTGATTATACCAGTGGGCAAGTCGTCGCAGCACATAAAAGGGAAATTAACCAAATAGACCATCAAAAACATATCCAAAATCTGATACGAAACACTGCAAACGACGAACAAAATCATATAACAGACGATCAACAAGTAAATCGAACCGAGTGGATCGTAACGAACGGTGAAAAGCACGCAAAGCTTTTCTCCCCATGACGCAGCCTCGCCCATGAATGCCACCACTTTCTCCGCCATCGACGACTGAAACGACTCCAACTCTTCGAGCTTCAAATCCTCGTCGGGTACCAAAGGAGGAGGCGTGTCGATCCCATACATGATGTTCTTGTAATACTTGCTCGTTTCACGAAGAAACTTGAACGCTACGTAACCTGGCAATACACCATAAACCGCAAGCAACAATATCCACTTCAGGAAAAGAAGCAGCAATCCGAAGATGTAGACTGCAACCAGTTTCGGCATAACATCGGTCGTGAGTCTGATGTTTGCATCAAACCAAGCACCCCACATGGTCAACGTCTGAACCATTCTATAAAGACTCATGCAATTAGCTTTGCTTCTTCTCATACTCACCAAGTTCCGATTCTTCGGTTTCAACATATCATTCACGACTTCATCTCTCAATGCGTTTCTTCTGCGTATCCGTTCGAATTGGCCTTATCTCGTTTTCGTTGGACTTTACCGAAAGCGCATTACATATCTCCGCTTTCGCTGGACCAAACCAAGCAACTGAGGGAAGAAGCTGTTAAGGTGCACTGTCTCAATCTTGCGAAGGCGAAGACAGAGCCACCATTGAGAGATGAAGTCGTGAATGATATGTTGAAACCGAAGAATCGGAACTCGGTGAGTATGAGAAGAAGCAAAGCTAATTGCAAGAGTCTTTATAGAATGGTTCAGACGTTGTCCATGTGGGGTGCTTGGTTTGATGCAAACATCAGACTCACGACCGATGTTATGCCGAAACTGGTTGCGGTCTACATCTTCGGATTGCTGCTTCTTTTCCCGAAGTGGATATTGTTGCTTGCGGTTTATGGTGTATTGCTAGCGTTCAATTTTCTTCGTGAAACGAGCAAGTATTACAAGAACATCATGTATGGGATCGACACGCCTCCTTTGGTACCCGACGAGAATTTGAAGCTCGAAGAGTTGGAGTCGTTTCAGTCGTCGATGGCGGAGAAAGTGGTGGCATTCGTGGGCAAGGCTGCGTCATGGGGAGAAAAGCTTTGCGTGCTTTTCACGGTTCGTGATGATCCACTCGGTTCGATTTACTTGTTAATCGTCTGTTATATGATCTTGTTCGTCATTTGCAGTGTTTCGTATCAGATTTTGGGTATGTTTTTGATGGTCTATTTGGTTAATTTCCCTTTTATGTGCTGCGACGACTTGCCCACTGGTATCATCAACTTTTTCACAAGGTTGCCGACCAAGGCAGAAGATATTGGGTGAGAAAAACTTGTAATTGTTGGCGAGAAAAACTTCAAGCTCGCAGAGGATATTCCGTCTAGGGTTCCTCCTGATGCAAGAATCGTGCCGCAGTGGTATTCTATGAACATGACCGAAACTGGTCATCCCGTGATGTTGCTGATGTCGGTTTGGTTTGGTACACAAGCTGACAAGGTCTATTCATATGCTTGGTTTTCGGACTCATTTGATGTGAGTGCTAGTTGCGTGGTCAACACTCAACCTAAGCTTTACTTAGCTCCGAGGCTCTGTTACGTTAGGGTTACAGTTGTTTCAGGTCATGAGTTGAGTTCTAACGATGGAAAACAAACTCCTTCTGTTTACGTGAAGGCAACTCTCGGTGACCAAGTCCAGAAAACCAAGATTTCTTTTGGTTCGAACCCTACATGGAATCAAGATCTAATGTTTGTGGCATCAGAGCCCTTATATGATACTGTCTACATTAGCTTAATCGACCAAGTCGATGATCAGCAAGAAGAATGCATAGGAAGGGTAGTGAAGAAGCTCTCAGAGATGAATGCGGCGGTTAAAGTTCCTGGAACCAAATTGCCGGTTTCGTTTTATGACATTGAACCGGCGGTTGAAAGTGATTCAAGGCGGCCCTCTAGCAGAATCAAGATGAAATTAGCAACTGATCAAGGTTATCACGTCAGTGACGAGTGTAGCCAATACTCGAGCGATTACCGAGCTTTCGCGAAAAAGTTATGGCCCCATAAGCTCGGGAAATTAGAGATTGGGATTTTGGGTGCTACGGGTTTAGAGACTACGAACGACTTGGGAGATGGACAGAAGACTACTACGGATGCTTATGTTGTGGCTAAGTATGGTAACAAATGGGGGAGAACACGAACCCTGAGTTTTCACCAAAGAGGAACGAGCAGTATTCATGGGACATTTACGACAAATGTACGATCGTTACACTCGGAATTTACGACAACTACTGCCGTATCGATCAAGCAAAGGATGTTCCAATTGGGAAAGTGAGGATTCTATTGAACTTTCTTGAATGGGACAAGCTCTACACTCGTTCGTTTCCGATGATTCTTGATTTGGGGGAAACAGAATTGAAGAAGACACGTGAGCTCCATCTCGCGGTTCGTTGCGTTTGTTCTGCGCAACCGTTTGCATTGGCCTTATCTCGTTTCCGTCGGATGTTACCAAAAGCTCATTACATATCTCCGCTTTCGCCGGACCAAACCAAGCAACTGATGGAAGAAGCTGTTAAGGTGCATTGCCTTGAATCACCTTCAACCGCCGGTTCAATGTCGTAAAACGAAATCGGCAATTTGGTTCCAGGAACTTTAACCGCCGCATTCATCTCTGAGAGCTTCTTCACTACCCTTCCTATGCATTCTTCTTGCTGATCATCGAATTGGTCGATTAAGCTAATGTAGACAGTATCATATAAGGGCTCTGATGCTACAAACATTAGTTCTTGATTCCATGTAGGGTTCGAACCAAAAGAAACCTTGGTTTTCTGGACTTGGTCACCGAGAGTTGCCTTCACGTAAACCGAAGGAGTTTGTTTTCCATCGTTAGAACTCAATTCATGACCTGAAAAACAACTGTAACCCTAACGTAACAGAGCCTCGAAGCTAAGTAAAGCTTAGATTGAGTGTTGACCATGCAACTAGCACTCACATCAAACGAGTCCGAAAACCAAGCATATGAATAGACCTCGTCGGCTTGTGTACCAAACGAAACCGACATCAGCAACATCACGGGATGACCGGTTTCGGTCATGTTCATAGAATACCACTGTGGCACGATTCTTGCATCAGGAGGAGCCCTAGACGGAATATCCTCTGCGAGCTTGAAGTTTTTCTTGCCAACAATTACAAGACGACCGTTCTCGGATTGATCGTCTTCGAGAGAGAGAGTAGCGTTCAAGACATCGTCTTTGGTTTTGTCGAAAGCAAAGACTTGGTTCAAATCCATGTTTGGTCCAATTGGTAGATCCTTGGTAGAGGATTTGTGGTTTCCGAGAGTGATTTCAACGGTGGGAATACATGTTTTGGGAGTGTTGATGACTTTCATTACTTCTACGTAAAGAAACTCCATCGGTTCGACCAGGTCGTGTGAAGAAGTCGGTTCGTTAGGGTTTCGAGCTCCTCTTTCTCTGCCGAGCTTTGGAGAGATTTTCTTGATGGAGAAGTCATCTTTCTTAGCTGCCGTCTTTGAGCTTCAGAAACAAACGAGAGTAAGAGAGAGATGAATGAGAAAATTTGATTGTGATTGAATAATGTGTAAAGGCTTATACACGCTTTATATAAGATTGAAGGAGAATCTAGAAAAATGGAAAAACTTACATTAACATTTTAGAAAATGGAAAACTCACATTTATTTTTAGGTGAATTAGC